TTACTGTCTATACATCCCACTGTCTACATGGGTTACAAATATTCCAAGCGGACACTGTCTAAGCACTACTACATACGTTTAATTTATTACACATAGTCGGTATGACAGATTTCCTAACCTCCATAGTCCTCAACTTTAACGCTAAATATCTCGGTTCGCGAGGCAGAGCGACACTTTTTTCTGCCAGATTCTTTCGTTTCATGCAAAAACGCGTCAAATAAGCCTAATTTTATCGAAATCGGAGGTGAGGGAGGTATTCTGAATAATTACCATACTCTGCTGTAATCTATACCACCATCGATGTGACGGTTTTTCTAACCTGAATAGTCATCAACTTTAACGATTAATATCTCGGTTCACGGGGTAATTTTTTTTGCCAGATTCGTTCATTCCGTACAAAAATGTGGCGAGTAAAGCGAGGAGCACAAACTCTTGCATAACGCATAACACATGAGGCATAAGAAATTGAACCAACCAGAGTTCTCTATTACATGGAAGGGAAAGAAACGGAGAACTTCGATTGGTACATATTCTTATGCATTACGTGTTATGCGTTATGCAAGAGTCTGTGCTCCCCGCTTTAGTCTAAAATTGTGTATTGCAGAAGCAGAAAATCACTTACGTGTTCCTCTACTACTATCGATGTGACGAATTTCCTAACCTAACCAAAAGTGTATACACTAAGGCTGTGTTCCAAAATTGTGTCAGCGCTGGCAGTACTGCCAACACCGTTCCAAAAATCATCGTAGCACGCTGTGGCAATGCTGCGAGAGGGTAAAGACGTCATTAATGTTGTCGTCATTTCCTACTGCGGCTGCTGCGGTTGCGAGGTGAGGCAGCTACAGCACAAGATGGCGGAAAAGATGGAGGAGTTAATTTTAATCGATGCTGAGAGTAACACTGAGTATAAACTCAGTGTTTCTGTAGAAGATGCTAAGAAAGCAAGAAGTAGTGAGTAGATTTATAATTTGTTTGTAGTCTGCTTTTTGTAGTCACACTTATTTATTCTTATTTCGAATTCAAATACAAAAATTGACATAACCTATGTACAAGAGGAAATCAAAAAGTAAATTTATTTTATTCACATACAATAGGCGTTAACAAAATATGTACATTATTTCTCAATACAATCATTTAGCTTTGCATAAAATTTTGTTTAACAATCTACAAATCTGATTCCATCTATGAACAAACTGGTTTTTGACTATCCTCGAAACATCAATGGTATATACCGTTTCCTTAACTTCCTTAACTTCCTCATTACTATTACTATTATTCTGTATGCTTCTCTCCATATTTCTAGGTTACTTGTTTTTTTTCGCGGACGTCGCTATATGCTGACAGCACTGAAAATATCGTTCCAAAATGAAAGCTGCGTTTGCATGCTTATGAAATTGGAACACTATTGGTAGCATGCACTTATGACGACATGCTCGCAGCGCTGACAAACAATTTTGGAACACAGCCTAAGGCTAAGTTTCCACTGAGCGCGTCACGCGTCGCGTCATGAAAGAGAGAAAGAGATAAGATTATATAAATACACAACTTCTCTTTTTCTCTTCTTCGACGACGCGACGCGTGACGCGCTCAGTGGAAACGTACCATAAGGGTACGTATCCACCGAGCGCGTCACGCGTCACGCGTCGCGTCGTCCACCGCGTCACGACGCGACGCAAAAGAGAGAAAGGCTGGTATTCATAGTCGATTCTTATTTCAAGACCGTCTTAAGTAATGTCTTAAGACGCTAATGCAGCCCTCTGATTGGTTCGTGACTTCTTAAGACCGTACTTAAGACGGTCTTGAATATAAGATCTGACTATGAATATCGGCCAAAGAGTGAAGTTTATACCCCTTTCTTTCTCTCTTTCGCGCCGCGTCGTGACGCGGTGGACTACGCGACGCGTGAGGCGCTCAGTGGATACGTACCCTAATGGCCGCGTTCAGCAGACTCAACTGTTGTGGAGCGGATCCGTGAGCGCTCGCTGCTATTGGATGATCTAGAAGAATACACCAATAGCAGCGAGCGCTCACGGATCCGCTCCACAACAGTTGAGTCTGCTGAACGCGACCATTGTCGTGTCTCCAGATCGCAGCACTCGCTGATCGTATATGTATCACTACTAGCGCTCCTTGCGTAGTGCGTAATAATTGTGTAAAGAATGTCAGAAGGACACGGAACTAGCACTCCTTGCCTAAAGAATGTCAGACGGACACCAAACCCTAGTAGCATAAATTATTGGCGCAATATTGGGAAACGAATGTACAGCCAATATTAAAACATTGGATAACCAATATTGGTCCAATATTGTAAAGTAGACGCCTAGTCATATTTAGCCAATATTGGGGATTCAATTCTTACCCAATGTTTTACATTGGCTATACATGGTTTTTAAATTCGCCAATATTCCTCAAATAATGTATAATCAATATTAGAAATAATTGAGTGAAAAATTCACTTACTTACGGGATTCGAACCTGGGACCTTTGGACTACGGGCCGTATTCATAATCCCTCCTCGACTTTAGGATTCCCAATGACTTTAGGCTGCCTCAGCTAAGTGCGCCTTGAGCTGAACTTAAGGATTGATATAATATGTGTAATTTCATAGTGTTGACTTGAGTAATACTTACTGAAGTATCGAAGAATTTGATTTTTCTTGTGCTGCTAATGGCAACACTGACGAATAGGTTAAGATTTTACGCACTATTATCAAACGTATGTCAAATTTCAGCAACTTGCTTTCTTGTATTATCATATATTTGCAAAATTCTTGCGTTTTTCGCTGACAAAAGATTTTGATATTAACGCTTTTGCTTAATTTTCGTGTTTTTCGTGGACAAGATAAAACATGATGGATAGGCAGATATTTTCAGAAACAGAAAAACTGTTTATTGTTCATCAAGTAGCTGAAAATAAAGAAATTTTGGAAAATAAGAAAACAGATGGTACTACAATACAAGCAAAAAATGCTGTATGGGAAAATATTCGTAAATCTTTTTGTAGTCAAGGCTTCACGCCCAAAAGTACAAAGCAACTAAAGAAATGTTGGGATAACATAAAACAAAAGTAAGTTTATACCTTATTAATGTCATATAGAATATAATACGTATCTATTTATTAAATGTTACAGAAGTAGGCAACAAAACACGATACTACGACAAAATCAATTGTTAACCGGTGGAGGTCCTCTTACGCCCGAAGAGACGAATGTTGTTACAGACGTAGCGCAAGCTACTATTCCAAACATAGACGTAGAGTTAGAAAACAAATGGGATAGTACTGCAGTATATGAAAAAAAAGTTAGTACAATTGACTGTTTCATTTAAAGTATATGTAAAAGTAAGCCTGGATCCTCATACAGGCAACAGTGCTTTGACACCAAATGCTAATTAATGAAAAATGGGTAATGGAGATAAGAATCCAGACTAAATTTTGTTAATAGCTACAGCAACATTAGATGGAAATGGATCATCCAACTCTTTGCATGAAGAAGATTCAGACATTGATGTGTATGAGACTGCTAGTACTTCCAAAGCTTCCTGCAGTACAAGACTATTAGAAAGAGGAAATACTGAAGCCATTAATAAGGCATCACCTAAGAATAATAAAAGGGTGTTGAAATCACGCAATGACAATGTATTGCACGTTACGTCTAAAAAAATATGCAACTGCAATGATATGTTATTAGAACTGCAGGTTGAAAAAGTTAAACACAACATAGAACAACAAAAGGAACTTCATGAACAAAGAATGAAAGTAGCAACGGCCGAAACAAAATTGGCTGTTTTGCGAGTTCTGGCAAAGCAGGAAATAAACGATAAAAGTACAAAATAAAATTTTTTCCAAACAACACGCATAAGATGTCTTTAAGATATCTTTTTGATGTCCTTTAAGACATGCGTGTTATCTGGGTTATTATTCTTACTATGTTTAATATTTCAAGCAACAGATTTTATCATTAGGATAAATGTTCGTGAAAGCAATTTTGAGTTTATGAATGCAATTGCAATTTTTTGTTTTGTTTTTACTATGTAAGACAAATATCACTTTTATTTTTGTCTGAGTGATGCTAAAAATATATTTCGTGTTCAGGTTGTAGTTGTAATATAGCTGCTGGCCATTAGAACCCTTACAGAAAGGTATTACTGGCTGTAACAAGTTAATTAGTGATAAGTCACTGAACAATAATATTTTATCACTGATCAATTTATTACAGTTAATTATGATATATGTGCGATCGTTACCAAAGATATTGCAATGATTTAATAACTAAGGATTAAAAAATAATTATGTTGTGATAACTGTTATTGTAAGTAGTAATCTCAGAAAATTGTATAGTGTCACTATGTTTTTTAAATATGATATTTGATATATCTGTTGTATGTTCCTCTTTTTGTCTATTGGAGTTTAAAGTATTATATTAATATAATAAGAGTTAATTTAAAAGGTGCGAACTTATGGTTAATTTTAAAGTTACTTTATTAAAATGTATGTTAATATCACATGTGTTAATACAAACAATTTGATATATTTCTTATAATTTACTTAATTAATAAAAAATATTTTATTGACAAATATATTTCAATAAACCCATTGTGTAAATTAAAAATTTGTCAGAGCAAAGGCATGACGGAATGCAAGCCCACCAGGCACAACGTTGTTAGCTGGTGGATCAACATCATTTTCGTCTTCCTCTTGTATTTCTTCTTCTTCTTCATCGGGAATGTAGAAGTCATGCTGTAGCCCAATGTTGTGCAGCACAGCCGTAGCACAAATTATGGCCATTGAGGTATTCAGTTTAGTTCTTAAAGTATAAACAATAAAATCGGCGCTTCCAAATACCGAATAATCTCTCTACTCTATTTCTGGTTGTGTTATGAGCGGCATTGTAATTAATTTCATGTATATTCTGTGGTACCAAAAAGGGCGTCAGTAACTTGTGACTGCAAGCGTAACCGTTGTCCCCCAACAGTAATCCAGGAATTCCATTTCTATAAAACCGACCGCGAACAGCACTTCTATTATAGATTCGGCTGTCATGGGTTGATCCCGGATATCTTGCTACAATATCTAATATTTCCAATCGAGGTCCACTTATCACCTAGTAAAAATTATGTAAATGTACATAAGAGTCGCCGCAAGTTTCCTTTATTAATAACGCTAACCAACTAGCAAAATTGCAACTATACGTTTAGGGACAAATAGCCTTTGCGATTTCGGAATACTTCTGCATTTTGGCCACCTGAATTAGCAATACAGAATGAGTACCATCTATACAACCTGACACGTTTGGGAAATGGATCATATTATGAAAAAGCCTAATGTTTTCCACTAGATCATTTCTTCTTTGCGGAAAGTTAACATATTCATCCAAATATCTGGCAAACAATATAGACACTCTTCTAATTATGCGTGAAACAGAAGATTGGCTATACGAGGTGTGATCAAAAAGTAAGGTGACTTTTCGAATTTCGCGCGCTCTGTACACTCTAATTTCAAAAATTTTTTGTTGTTGTGTTGGTACATTCGTCACGATCATATGTTCACAGTTTTGACTATATAGCATGTGTTGTTTTTATGTGAGAGGCATAAAGGTTAGATTCGTGTTTGCGTGCTCGGCGATTTTTTGCTGTTGAAAATAATGGAGCA